TTGTTTCCGAAGGAACCCGTCAATGTAGACCAACTAATCGGAATGTCTCATCTTAGTATAGGAGAGACTGTGAATGGGCACATAGAGCTTTCACCGTTATCCTTGCAACAGCTGGGAGAACCATCAAGACAATCTGCATTTCATGCAAATGCAGCAGACCTGAGAAAGGGCAAAACTGGTGCTATTCAAGCTGTCTGAAAATGCAAGCCAAGGAGTGGTAATTTTATCTTGTTCTGCTTAAAGTGGTAATTTTATCTTGTTCTGCTTAAAAATTATAATTTTGCATCACCATATGATTATTTATTTGAGGGGTAGAAAAGTAGTAAGGAATTTCTGGGTGTTTACAATATGGGTTAAGATAATTTATGGGAAATATTTATTCATACTAACTGTATACAACCGATAGTGCTAATAATCAAAAGGGAATGATAGTAAATGCCTTGGCCCTTGGGTCTTATATCATCAAGGTCCCTTGTATTTTAGGTATTTAGGTTTTACTTTTACACAATGTTCTGAGCTATTCTCCCCTTTTTTTCCTGTGAAATTTAAAAACAGGACAAATAATGTACATTGTATCTTATAAAGATTGGGTATTTGACATCATCGTCAATAATAGGGGGGTTATGACTAATTTTTTAACAAGGATTAAGTGATCTTCAACCAACACCATCGATAGTGGGAAGTGATGCGGTTAACCTGGTTTGACCTTTTCTTTCCCATTGTTTCTTCGACTAGTTTTGTCTTGTAAAAGCGCAACAAATTTTAGATGTGCATCCACAAATTCAAACCCAACACATTCGTTACACCACAGACGTCATCGCTCATGACCTTGTTCAGTGAGCCTCTTCTAGGCTTGCTAATAATAGTATTTATTTTTCAATTTGGAATATCTTGATTTTAGTTTCGATGATGTTCTAAATGATATTATTTATGACTCATCCGCGTATTTTCTTGAAAAATAAAAGACTCTTTTCAAGGTATGACTAAAGTATGACGTATTTTAGTATCAATGTCCACAGCCCACAATACCAGGGCCAGGGCTCGTCCTACTCATATGTTCTTAAATCAAATGTTTTTCTAACGTGGTGTACTTTATTGAAAAAGGGTATTATTTTAATCGATAATGTTATTGGAAAAGGTATTATTTCAACCGATAAGTTTTCTTACGGGGAAGAATGAAAAATGGAACGCTGCAGGTAACAAATAAAAGAGAGCCTGTCCCCTTTAAGAGGGATCTAAATCAAAGAATCGTGTCAGATTCTGTCCGTGACCAACGCAAATCTCAACGTATACAGCAACAAAATTTAACCAATGAACAAACCCTGTCACGGCCTCCTAAAAAGCACTCACGGTTGATGAGTCTCTCTTGTTAATCAATTCAACTTAGTTTAACATCTAATTAAGGGTCTCCATTACTGTTTTTATTTTATTTCTAAGACCACATTTTGTCTTTGTTCTCGAACTACATCTCTGATTTAAAAGAAACGCCCCTCTACTCCTCCGAACAAACCATAAAACTAAATGCTTTGTAACTAAATTGAGGAAAATGAAGTTTAATTAAAATAAAAACTTAATATAAAAAGCTTTTTAAACTCTCTTTTTATTTAAGTATTAAAATTTTTTCGATCAATTCAGATGTTTGACGTTACAAAAAATGTCATTTTAAGTGCTCGACCGTAATAATCTTTAAAAAATTATGTTAAGTGACATGTGTCATATTTATCTAATACTAAAAATTTTCTTTAAAATAAAAAACTTAAAATTATAATTAAAAAAATACTCAGAGTTTTCTCAAATCTTAAAAAATCCTAAAACTTTGAAAACTCTAATTTCAATTTCTATACCTATGTCAGTTGTTATCTTTTGTCGTCGTTACCGCCAACCGAATCTTCTCTTAACCACCTCCACTCAATAATCAGTTATTCGACAAACAACCACAAAAACAAAAGCAAACAAACAATAAAACTGACGAGCAACAAAGATATAAATCGCAACACCCGATTATCTCACCGGCGAGGACGACAATGACCAACAAGGGATATGACAAAGGCCGTGGCAAATGAGGTCAGTGAAGGGGTTGATAAGATTATTATTAAGGATTTTAGGATTTATTTTTAGAGATTTGAGTTTTTTTAGAGAAATTGTTTTTTAAAATAATAATATTTTTAATTTTTTAAATAAATTTTTAAAATTACTTAAATGTGATATGTGTTATTTAACAACTTTTGAACGCCTGTTGCGATCAATGTACTTAAAATGGTAATGTTATAGAATTTACATACCCCGGAAAAAAGTTTATGCACCTAAATGAAAAAAATATGTATAGTTTGAATACTTTTTTAGGCGCAATGTCGAAATTAGATCCAACATTTACCAAAATGATCATTTTGGCCTATATTCTATTTTGTGAACAAAAAAACTTCTCTATAAATGAAAATCATTAGTCAGCAAGCGATCAATGTTTCAAAATATAAGTATTTTTTACCCTAAAATAAAAAGTTGGTTGCCAAAATACTTTAGGAAAAAAAGACTATGAGCCAAAGTGATTATTCTATCAAATCTTATGGGTCGTTTTGTCTTAATATAAAATATTAGGGTCAAAATGCTCTAAAAAGAATAGGAGTCAAAATGATTGTTTTGATAAACATTATGTACTAATATTGACATTATGCCTTTTTCTATTAAGCCTTAAACAAACACCAAATTGGTATATCTAACTTGGCAAAAAAATCACCCGAGGTCTCTAAACTTTTTTTAAAAAACTCAATATGACATTTATCCTATTTTTTAAAATAATGTGACCCTCGAAAAAAAAATCAATGTGAGCATTTAACTTACATTTTTCATCTTTAACCAACGAAACTGTTACTTTCTACTGACGAAACTGTTACTTTCTACTGACGTGTCACGTGAAGTTGCCCAGCTCACCCGTTTATTGACCGGTTCAGATCTCTCAACTTCCTCTTCCTCGCATACCCATCATCGTGATTCATTCACAAGCCATAAACGATGAACGGATCGTTCTTCTCAAGGTTAAACAACAATTGGGTAATCCACTGTCCATTGCTTCGTGGAACTCATCATCCTTGCTGGGCGATTGGCCGATCTACTGCACCGTCGACTCGATAACCAAGCTTCACCTTCGTGAAAAAGACATTACAAAAAAGATCATGCCGTTGATTTGTGACCTCAAAAACCTCACTTTCCTTGACATCCCCTTGAACTTCATCCCCAGGGAATTCCCGATAACGCTTTACAATTATTCAAAGCTTCAAGTTTTAGATATTTTTCAAAACTATTTCGTCGGTCAAATTCCTTATGATATTGACGGAGAATTGTCGAGAAATTTATGCGCCGATAGTGTTTTACAAGGACTGGTCGCTCATACAAATATTCTCGAAGGTGAAATTCTGGGATCGATCGGGGATTGTCGGAGTTTGGGCACTTTTCAACTTCACAACAACAAGTTCGCCGGCGAGGTTCCTTCGGGTTTATGAAGGAGCTTCAATTTGTCAACTTCGATGCTAAGCAAAAAACTCTTTTTCCGGCGAATTACCCAGCCGAGTTGCATAGAACATGTCGAGGTCGAAATCAGTGACAACAAATTGTCCGGCGAAATCTCCGTCGAAACCTCTTCGTGGTTGAATTTGGTCGTCTTTAAAGCGAGCAACAATTTATTTCGCTGCTAAATCCCGAAGGATTCTAAACTCATCACTTTACTTCTCGACGACAATGAATTATCCAACGAATTTCTATAGGAAATCATCTCTCGGGTCAAATCCCAGTCGGCATTAAACGTGTGAGTTGGGTAACTTCACGTGCCACGTCAGTCGAGAGTAACGATTCTATTCGTCAACGACATAAACGTCCATCAAAGTTACAAATCGAGTTTTTTAGGGTTGAAATATCATATATTTTAGGAGACTTTGAATGTCTTTTTTAGTTTTTTCCATTAAAATTTTACGGAAAACATCTTATGTAGTCATTCAATTATTATTTTATTTATACTTTGACCATCAAATTATTATTATTTGGTAACATATCACTAACAATACATTTTTCTTATTTCGATCCGTAACCGTTAAATTTCCATTAATACTTAATATAGAGGGTGACATGATCTGGTATAATAATAATTTTAACTTTTAAAATTTATACGTTATAATAATTTGATTATAATTTAAAAATAATTTAATAATTTTAATTTTCAATATTTAAAAATATCATTAATTTATTCTTCAAACACATCATGATCATCATCCTTTGTCAACCACTACAAATTTATTTCAAACTTTTAGTTTGATCTTAAATCAGCTTAGCTAAATTCAGTTCCTTTTTTTACTAATTTATTTTTAAAAAAAATTGTTTTATGATTTCTTTTTATTCTAAAAATCTAACCTTCATTTACTCCAATCAATCATCTATTGACACGCCATGGTCTCTAGATTAAATCACATTTTCAATTCCTCTATTGCAGCAACTCATTGATATTGTGTTAAAATCCTCATAATTCAGTTCAAGAATTAAAATCATTCTCAAAAGAAAAGGAGTAGCATGTTGAATGAAAATCTAACTCAATTGAAACTGGCCGAAGCTCAAAAGGCTTAGAAAACTTAGATGTTCTTTCATATCTTTTTATGATTTCTTTCGAATAGTTTTACAATGATGGAAGAAGAGAAGGGATGATTGTGGGGTTTCAAATTCCGATTAGATTACGTTATCATACCAATTAAAAAGAGGTCATAATTAATACTTATGTTAATCTTTTAACTCTTAGTAACTGAAAATATATATTGACGATGAGTTTACTTAAAAAGATAACTTGATGGTCAAAGTTAAATATGATAATAGTTGAGTTACCAAGTAGGTAATTTACCCCTAAAGAAAAGAAGTTGGTTAGGGAGACGGGAGAGGAAGGGAAGATTTAAAAGGAGTATGTTTGAGTAGGTCAGCAACAGCACGCTTTGTTTTGTGTTTTGCTCTGTAGTCGCTGCTTTTGCTTCCTGAACTGAACAACCTAACGTTTAAAAGGGTGTTTATGATTCAAGTAATGGGGGTGGGCACACATTTTCAAAAGTGATGTTGAAGTAGCAGCCTCGTGGAGGGATGTGGGTTGCGTTGCGTGACTTGCTCTTCTTATTCTTGTTTCCCTGTTTCATGTTTGGGGTTCTTCAGTAAAAAAGAGAAGGGGAATCTCTTGCTGGTTTTTATATTCTCTTTTTATGCTCTATCTACCTATACAAAATCACCTTCCTATAAACAACAGAGAAAAAGACAGCAACACGAACCCACTTAAGCGTGCCAAAAACCAAAAACCAAAACAAAAAGCAAAGATAAGAACCCACCCCCTCTTACTCTATCCTTTCTGTCTGAGTTGCTTAAAACACTGTTCTTTCTGGGGTTCCTTTCTATTTACCTTTTTTAAAGTTTTTTCCCCATTAAAGGTGTTTGTTTTAAGGAGCGGGATAGTTCTTGCGTTGTTAGCTAAGATCTTCGGAGTTGATTCTTTCTGTTGCTAACCCCTTCTAGTTTTCACGAAGCTTGTCTTTATGGTTCTGAAATTTGGTTGGTTGACTCAGCTTAAGTTTTAGGGTTAGTTTCTGTCTTTGGATTTTCATTACTAGTTTTGCTCTTTACATTTGTTCTATTTTTTCCTTCTTTAGCTTCTAAATCTTGAACACATCTGTTTTCTTTCTTTCTTTTTTCTCTCAGTTTGCTAGTTACAGCTATTCAGGAAAAAAAGGTGATATCTTTGTTGTGATGGAGAGCTCAAAGAATGGGGAAACATGTCCTCGACTTCTGAACTTGATACCCCGAGAAAGAGAATGGCATTTGAAGAGAAAAGATGAAGAGACTGGTCTTTCATCAGAAGAGAAGAAGCTGGAACTGAGGCTTGGTCCCCCAGGTGATGAAGATAACTGGTCCCTCAACGGTACAACCAAAAACTGCAGGGAGAGAGATGAGCATGTGATCTCACTTGGGTACTTATCTTCAATGAACAACAGCAAACAAGCACATAAGTTTCCATCTCCAGAGGACCACAACCCCAACCACCAGGTCGGGTCAGTTTTGTCCCCATCATGGACCAAAAACCACCATGAACTGCTGACAAACCATCCTCCATTTCTTCCCTTCCCATCAACACCCCGACAGAGCTTGCCTTCTATGGCAAAGGAATCATCACAGCCCTGTTGCACTAAAGTGGTAAACATTCAGAATGCAGAGAAAAAACCATTTTCACCTACTGATAATACAGCTGGTTCTCCCAACACTTCTCAGAAAAGGTACTCTCTCTCTCTCTCTCTCTCTCTCTCTCTCTCTCTCTCTCTCTCTGTGTGTGTGTGTGTCTATCTGCATCTCTTTAATTTATGTATTTATTTTCTTTTATTTTTTAAAAAAAAATCTTCTTGACAGAGGATATTCACTGACAAGTCACGAGATTAGCTTATTGATGTTTTGTAGTCCATGCATGCTCTGTTATTTGTTTTTCTCAATCTTTTCATACATGTACCTGCATATTTTGTTGTTTTAGTTCATAATTTTACATTTCTTCAGCTGTTTTCAGGTAACATCATTTATTGTTATTGATCTGCTCATTCATGATGGCTCTTAACATATTCTGGTCGTAAATGCTTAAACTTTTATTTGGGTGTCTAATTGTATGGCTAATATGGTAATGGAAAAACAGAACTGCTCCTGGTCCAGTAGTGGGTTGGCCTCCAATTCGCTCCTTTAGGAAAAATCTTGCAAGCAGCTGCTCTTCAAAACCAGCAGCTGAACCACCACACAAGGCTGCTAATGAGAAAAAAGCTGCTGAACGGACTGCCAAATTTGTGAAAATCAACATGGATGGAGTTCCCATAGGAAGGAAAGTCGATCTCAAAGCTTATGACAGTTATGACAAACTGTCTGCAGCTGTTGATGAACTATTCAGAGGCCTCCTTGCGGGTAGATAAAATTTTCAATGAATAATATATACAATTCTTTAGCTAATTGTAATATTGTGAATGTCACGTGTTTGTGTGCAGCTCAAAGAGATTCCTGTGGTGGTGGAACAGTGAAGAAGTTGGAGGAGGAGAAAGTGATCACGGGCTTATTGGATGGAAGTGGGGAATATACACTGGTTTACCAAGATAACGAAGGAGACAGGATGCTTGTTGGGGATGTTCCGTGGCAGTAAGCATCTTATCAAAGCATTACATTCTTAATGTCTTAACCGTTGATGTATGTATGTATGCTAGATGTTGTGCTTAATCTGAACTGGTTTTTGCTTGCAGCATGTTTGTGTCAACAGTGCAGAGGCTGCGCGTGTTGAGGAGCTCGGAACTTTCTGCCCTCAACCGTGAGTGTTGATTTATTATCAGTTGTTTTTCCTTTTTGTTTATTAGCTTTGCCGCTGCTCTCATTGACGAAATTGGCGGTGCTGCTTGTTTTTCACAGTTGGAAGCAGTTTGAGGATGAGGCTTTGAATTCTGTTTTAATGTATTCAACATTTTGTTCCCTGTTTGGCCTTTCACTCGCTGTAATATGTATATATCACTGGTTTTCTATGTAATTTCTTTTTTTCCTACATCAATGCCACTATCCTTCAGCTCTTTTTCTGTTCAAACGGACCGACCCCAAAGCTCATTCCATCACTTTTGGTATGGTCCCATGATTCTTTGACCATTGTTTCATCATCGACCAAACCTGCCCAACACTTATAAATGACACTTGGTTCATGCATTGTTTGTTTTTTTTTTTTATTATTATCAAAGTCGAGCTTAATCAAACTTTGAGGACAAAATATATTAAAAAAAAGAAAAAAAAAGGTTGAAGGGTCATTATAATTAGGAGCTGCCTAACTTTGGGCCCTAAATTAAGACTTGTATACCTTATATAATTCCATTTGGAGCCTGTGGGAATGTAAGAATGTGTCAAAATGCACGTGCGCGGTAGCAGCCACATGTCGCGGCGCTTCCTTCACGGTTCCAGAACTTGGTGGGTCCTTAACACGTGTCCTTCTTTGATTAAAACAATGGACGGACATGTCTTTTAACTTGTAAACTTGTCCATTGACTTTGTTTCCCAATTTTTTTTACACTAATCAAATACGGCAAGGGTTTTATTAACCAAACTAATTATTATTATTTTTTAATATTTCGGTTTGAATATTAAGTATGTCAGTGATGTGAGCGTTTAATATTAAATAATTAATAATTATCCTTCAACATATATTATCTTATATTTATTATAGATTAATAAAAAAACACTGCTAAGGGTTTGTCAAATACTTGTACGGTTGTTCGACCTTTCGTGGGCTTGTTTCAGTTTTTTCATCATTAAATACTAATTTTCTATTACTATTTTCCTTGGTGTGTAGCAAAACATTCGACTAACCCCGACTAATTTGCATCGTCTTAACGGATATTACTGTAAAAGCAATTTTTTTCCTCTCTTGCAATTGCAAAATGTCAAAAGCATAGGTGATAGAAATTTGCGATTTTAACAATCTGATGTATTTTTATATTTATTTTAGTGCGTCCAAAATTTTATATTTAAAACACTTTCAACAACTATGAATTTTGGTTGATAACAAAGGGAAACGTGAACGTCATTATCGTATAATTTTAGTAAAATATGGATAATTGAACGAGAACATTTAGAGCATATATTATTTTTTAATCACTTTAAGTTAATAAAAAATATATACTTAATTACTAAGCATTTAGACTAATTGATAATTAAAAATTAAATGGTCAAAACATCCTTATGAAAAGAGATAAATCAATTGAACATTCGACGGGTTATATCATATCATATGTTTAATTAAATAAAAAAACTATATTCTTAAGTAACATTATTAAATAATATAGTATATTCATCTGATTTATTGTAGTTTAAAATACTCAATCGATTACATTTAATCTGATATAGTATATTAAATAATATGTTTAAAATATTTTATTAATCAATTAAATGTATTAGTTTGATGTTTAGAACATGCAACGAGTTAGATAAATATATCAAAATCATATATTTAATTAAATACCGCATTATTTATTTAAGTGTCTAGCTTATAAAATTAATGAATTTCCAACTATTATGAAAATGAATGTTTTGCTGTTTTTCTAAGCTACAATAATCATTGTGCTAATTTTTAATATACATGGATCGAAATGTAATCCACATTATATATATATATATATATATTATTGAATTGTGCTTAAATGGTCATTTTAGTCATTGTACTTTTAAAATTTATAAAATTTTCATTAATTTTATTAACTTGTTACGATATGGTCACTATGATGTTGTAATAATTGTAAAATTTTGATAAATTTAATGATCATTTTGTAACAATTCATTAAAATTTATAACCATTTTATAAAGATGAGATAAGTTTGATGATTATTTTGTAATTTTTGAAAGTTTAATACTCAAAAATATCATTTGAGCATAGTTCAATGACCTCCGGTGCCTTTTACCCGAAAAACAAATAGTTGATGGAGTTCCACTTTGATGATAAAAATAACACCAAAACGTGACCCCCACCACACCATACATAGAAGACAATAAAAGCAAGCCAAGGAACAACAGCAGCAGCATGGGGATGTCTTCTTAAACCTAATTACAAGCTTCCATATCCCATTCCTTCAAAATTAAGCACTCACTCTGCTCTCTCTTTATCGCAATCATTGTGCATAACCGAAAATGAAAGCATTAATTCCCTTCAAATCCAAGTTTTTAAACCCGTGCAAAAACTTGTCCCAATCTTCAAGTTCAAGCTTAAAAGGCCAGTATTTATACGACCTCTTAGGTTTAGGCTTAGAAAAGCCCCTCAAACAAGTTTACGATCCATCTTTCGGTTACTAAGACCGCGGAGGAAGATGGATAAACTTGCAGAGCTTCGAAGCATCTCGGAGGCGTCCGGATGCGACAGGTATAGGCTTCTTTTCTCGTCGCCGCTTACGCCTGCTACCTATACGGAGGTCGGAGGAGGTTCCAGGAAGAGGGCATCATCTGACGTGGAAGATGCATGCAGGAGTTTCGAGAATTATTTGGTTGAGATGATTGTTGAAGAAGGGAAAGTGAGCGATTTGATGGATGTGGAGGAGCTGTTATATTGTTGGAAGAACTTGACCAGCCCTGTGTTCATAGATTTGGTTTCTCGATTCTATGGGGAGCTTTGCACCGATTTGTTCTCCGGGAATGACGATGACAATGCTGATACTCCCTAGTCATTAGTAACTCTTCCGACAATGCTGATCACTCCCTAGTCATTAGTAACTCTTCCGTTAAACAAGTTGTATCCCTACATCGAATTTCTCCCATACATGTTTACGTAACTGACCATCTTCTTCCTCTTAACAAATTGCTATTCTTTATGTAATAAACTTAAAGCAGAGAATATATATAGTATGGAAAGCACATTTGTCGATTTTATTTCGAGTGGATTATATAGCAGGCAATGTGAAATACAGTAGGAAGATAATTTGCAGGCACCAAACCAGTGATAGATCTAGAAATTTAAAAATAGGGTTTAAAAATTTTATTACTCTTTTTTCCAACAAAATGGGTGTGCAAAATTTCTTATTCTCTTATCCTTTCCTTAATATATTAATCTATATCTAATAACTTGTCCAAAATAATGGGTATGCAATTGGCCCCCTAGGGAGCCAAGTGCTCCGCCCCTGCACCGAACCATATTAATTATCATTAAACAAAATGTAGCAGAAATGGTTGCATCTGAATATACTTATGTGATTCAGTTTCGAAAAATAATTATTTGCAGGCCTAACAGTAACAGAATAAAACAAAAATGGTAAATAGAATCAAGGCACAGGCCGAAGCTGAAGATTTCGCGCTTCCAAGTCCTGCATTTATACATTTAATCCGCCTCATTGAGTACTCTGCAACTGCAAGCAATTATTTAATGCCCTCGACAACCAGACACATGAATGAAATGTCTAATCCCCCGGAATGCAAAGAAAAGGAAATTGTGGATAGAACCGCCAAGATTTCTCACAAGTAGCTTTAAAAGAACGGCAGAACCAGCTCCTTACTGCTCCCAGGACTCGTATATTTCAAGATACTGTGAATGGGAAGCAGCAAGAAGAGCAGCTCCAATGCCAGAACCATCGTTTGAATGCTCAGTCGTAATGGTTTCAGATATCTCTTCTCCAAGCAATTCATTTAGGGTGTTCTCAAAGCAGTTGCGATATTCCGAATAGTGCTCGTATAGTCCACCATCCATAGCTATCACCGTTTTCTGTTTCTCTCCATCCTTGATTGTGTCTCTCCCCATTTTCTTCAGAATCCCTAGTACCCCAGCAGCCGAAAGACGTGCGCCACGTGTGGCAACAACGTTGCAAAGCTCAACAATTGCCTTTCTCATCTTCAGGGAAGTATTTGATATCTGGAACACAAAGAATGGTATAAACAAGTTTCGCAAAAGACCAATGGAGAGAATCAGATTACCAGAGAAGTTCTGTTGCGATACGACGGTCATAGGCAAAGGAGAAAAGAAGAAGAAGCAAAAGGACCAAGTTTTGCTGAAAAAAAATAACATCTGCAGAAGTTTCAAAAGATTAAAGTATACCTCAAGAACATCTTTCAAATTACTGGCTACCACTTTTAGGTCGGAGGAAGTGTCTCGATGCATTGCTGACATGACTGGTGTCCTGCATAGCTCAAATATCGCCTTTCTTTAATACGATGCAAAAGGCACATCTTTAAGTATATAAAAGGAATAAATATCTGATGAAGTTTCTAAAATATAACAGGAACAAGTGAATGTGCTTCATTCCATGAAATGTAATCCAAAGCTACTGAATGAAAAATATTTCTTACAAAGGAAATGTAATTTGGGTAATACATGAACTCAAAGAAATAAAGCAAAAATTATGTCATCTCTAACAAAGAAATACATCTTCATTTGATGATGTGCACAAAACCTCACATATACTGAATCAAAACGTAATGGTTCTTCAGTCACTTCAGAGTTCAAATTATCCACCCAAAACAAGTTCCTATTGGAATGACCTTTCTAATTCTTGGCAGGACAAATACAATGTTTGACATCGGTTTTCTCATTGCAAACATAGTGGAATGAAAATCACGAGCATTTTAACCAAAGGTAAAGTACAGGCGAAAAATGACTGAATCAAGACAATAAATATCCCAAGAAAGTAAAATTAAAAAGAAAAAAGAGAGAGAGAACAGTAAACAGCCTAGGGAAATTACCCCAATACAAATGGCTTGTGAAGTTTAGGTGGAACAGTGTCACCAAAAAATGCAGCTTCCTCAGCCATCCTACACAAAACTCTACGAACAATTTCTCCCAAATACATTCCAGATATTACCTTCTCATAAATCTGGGATAAATTAAAACAATATTAGATTAAAAGAGAAGAAAAAAAGCTAAAGGACCTAAAAAGCAACAAATTTGAGCAATTACCTGTTCACCAGGATTTAAACTTTCTACATCTAGGGCATGGTCATACTCTGTTAATGGAAGATGTGACGACCTGAAGTTACCCCACTCCATATTTATAACCT